AGTTGGTGAAGGATTTTCATCACAAGTTCAATATCGGTGATGGGCGAGTCAACATCCTTAAGATCACTTTCATGGTTCTTGAGAGTATGGCAGAATTCGGTGATGGAGTTGGAGCCTATCTTTGTATTACGAAAGTGATCTTGAAGCTGTAACATTCGAGACATCTTATTATTGCGAAAAAAATTATTGAAGCCTATCCCAAAGATCTTTGGCAGAACAATCATCACTGGAAATAATCTGGAGAAGACTGGGATCATAGGTGATGTAGAACCAGGAATTTATGTGTGCATCAACTGAGAACCATTCCTCATCATCATTACTGGTGGGTTTTGACTTGCCCGATAAGTGACCATAACTCATTGTTCCATGGCACATGTTAGAAAAGATTTGCCTCCATAGCTTGTATCGTGAACCATCAACATTCAGTTTAAAACTAAATTGGTTATAAACATTGGTAAGGGAACAAACCAAGTTCAGTTTGGATGTAATAATGGTCGATGAAGAAGCTGGTATGGTGTACATAATGGGCAATGACGAGAGTATGTAGGGCATGCAGTAGATGAAAGTGTGGGTGGGACCGGAGCTGTGCAGAGGTTTTAGTCTTACAGAAACCAATGCAGATGTGAAGCACCAGGACCATAAAAAAAGGAGGGCAGTCCATGATGAAGAAATCGACTGAGAGAGTGAACAAGAATAAAATAGATCGTGGCAGAAAAAAATATGGAGTGGAGAGGCGCTGTACATGAGAATGAATGGGTTTAGAAACCCTAGCTTGATACCATGTTAATTGTGGTAAAAGCCCTCTTGATTAGGGTATTGTATTGCAATGATATATATATATATATATATATATATATATATATATATATATATATATATATATATATATATATATATATATATATATATACACACAATATAGTTACGTAAAGGCCCCTATACAAAACACAGTGAAAAATAAAGACTTTAACTTAACATAAAACATAATGAAAATATGTGTGAATGGATGATTACTGTTCCTCTTAGGGAGATGAATATTTAACATGTGAGTTCTAGTAGTCATCAAAATCAACCAACCAAGAGTTATATTTTTTGGAAACGGCAAATAGAAATATATATTAGAATAGCAACATACTTAGCAAGGAACTAAGCATGAGCCAACAAGGTACATGAAAACAAAAAAGAAAAAGATCAATAGGAAAGGGGGGCAGCACCAACCACCCAATTACAAATTCCCGATTTACCCCTATGTTTAAACCATGTATAAGATTGTCATTATGAAATTTTTATACCTTCATGTGAGTGGGTTGAATCTTGTTGAATACCTTATCATTTCTGGCATTCCATAAGCACCATAATTACCAAGAGTTATATATATTCAAACAATAATCGACCACAAAAAAGCACACGCTTAAATATTTTCGCTAATGTCTATATAAACTATTTATTCATTGAACAATCAAACCAATGAAGAAGGAAAATATATGTTTAATATTATGGTTAAGGGTCCCTTAACATAAGGAGTACATATTATAAGAATATTTAAATAAATTAAGAAGCTTTAGGTGATTGCAAGAAAAAAAAGAACACGTAGACCCCCATTTCAGGAATTGGTTTAACATATGTTTTATTAGATGCAACTAGTAATCCTATACTAGTTGATGGGTTCGAGGTGTTGAGATGCATTATGTATTTCCTAGACTTGCCGCTATAGAAACAAAGTCAGTTGATAGACGGGATGATAATGATGGGAGTTGGATATGGAGAAGAAAATTGAAGGGAGGTGTTGAGATGTCATTCGAGAGTTTGAAAGAATTTGATTCCAATCATGGTGAATATTTTTCGTTCAGATAGTTCGTTTGGGGATTTGGCTAACAGGGCGAAGCTTAGAGTCAAAGATATTCACCTTTTGTAAGTGATAATATCTTACCACATAGTATGGGTTAAACGATATGGAATAATTTGATTCCAATCATGATGAATATTTTTTGTTGGAAACTCCTTTTGTATCATCTTTCAACGAAAGATAACCTTGTTTCCCATGTTATTGATATTACTTGTTTGTTTTGCCCGATTTGTACCAACCATGTCGAGAATGCTAATCATGTTTTTTTTTTGTGGAGTGAGAGGTTGTGAAGCCATGATGCTTAAGATGAGGTAGTGGTGTGATGTGGATATCTTGCTTTTCTCTTCATAGTTTTAGCGATTTTGAAGGCATTGTGTCCTCGATTCGATTATCCCTGGCTCGGAGATCTATGTTGGATGCGATTATCTCTACGGTTTTGTGGTGCGTATGAAATTTTGGGTACAAATGCGCTTTTGATCGGACTTGACCGAAAACACAACATGATTTTTTATGAAATAGTTGTTTTTTAATTTTGATGGGTTCTTCATAGGGAACATATATTTTGTGTTGATTGAAATTTATGACCTCAACTCGATTTTACACTTTTCGATGTAATACTTCTAATTTTTCACTAGATCCTTGCTTTTTTTTTTTTAAACGGCTGAATAATAATAGATATTAGAAAGAGTCGGCTCGAATAATTATAAATATTAGAAAGAGTCAGCTGGAAGCTGGAACAGTTATAGAATATAAAATCCAGATACAAAAGTACAAAGAGAAACGTGTATAATATAAAAAGGACTTAAAGAGGTAACTAGTGACCAGTGAAGGTGATACCCAGGAGAACTTTAGATAACAACCTTTATTCTAAGGCAACAAACCCATACCATTTTGATGACAAGCATAGATACTATCTGATGTATCATTTGGAGCTCACCAAAAGACAGCAGCAACAACATGAACATTAAGGCAGAACGAGGTTTAAATTAATCTTCGTATAATCAAGAGTATAAGACTTCCTTGCTAATATTTGTTTTTAGTACCAAGAGTATAAGACTTCCTTGCTAATATTTGTTTTTAGTACAATTTTATCGTTCCAAGAAAATAGTCATCCTATAAAGATAAAGGTTACACTATCTAAAATGTCTCCTCAAAATTAGTAGCAAATATTTATGGTTATTTCCGCAACCATCATTATAAAAATCCATCCATCACATATTTTATAAAAAAATAAATATTATATATACACTGTTTAAATTTTGAATTTATCAATAAAAAAGTTAATTATACTAACCCAAAAATATCTAATAACACACAGTCAACCTAGTTTCCAAGTACAACTGACATCCAATATATAAACAGAAGCTAACACACAGATACAAAATGATTTCACAAAACCATCGTCGAACAAGAAAAGAATAGATTATTTGTATCTGACTACATAAGATAGCAAACATAGGTGCGTACAAATACATACTTGATAAACTATGATTGCGACAAAACAAGTCCTACAATACTTCAATAAAAGCTACATAAATGCATCAAATTTTCTAGAATACATAAAAATCTTAACTAATACAAAAATACAAAAATAAATATAAAAAACTAAAATCGGTCCCTGATTTGGCCACGATAGCCTGGAGAGATTGCAATAATTTCGCCATCAACCCATACAAGATCGATATCAATAGCGAACGGGGTAAGAAAACAAGTCAACTACAACTGCCACGTGTCAGGTAGACAGATGGACGGTATATAGAATTATTTGTAGTATCAATTGCATACAGATTGATTGGGCCTCTATGTAAATGGGCCCACTATACCTTCTAAAAAGCTATTTTTTATTTTATTAGGCTGGATTTGCCGGGCCTGGACCACAAAAAATAAATTGGGCCTTTAATGTAAAGATCTTGATTGGATACAAATCTGACATCTGGCATTTGTCACGTGAATACTGGACGCGTAAGTGGTCCACAACAAAATGTGATTGTAGACGAGTTAATTGCTGTTGACTTTGTGTAAAGGGGTTGTTTAATTGATGGGTCCATGAACAATATAAAGTCAAACCAAGCGATGATGGGCAGTTACATATGTTACTTTGTACTTTGTAGGTTGTATTACGATGTATAATCTTTTTTTTTTGTTCATACCATACATGAGGTTGTAGTATGATATTATGTTGTTTTATGTTACTTTCTTACATTAAATAATTAATTAAATATATTGTATACACTAATAAGATGATAAATATATTTTTAAATCTTATGATTTTACTGTTATCTTATATTTTAGATATTTGAAATTTATAGGAGCATTCAAATAGGTGTTCATCTAAGCTTAATTACGTACCTTCACAATATGGTTCACAAACAATTGGAAGATTAATTGCATACCTTCACAATATGGTTCACAAACAATCGGGAGAGTTTCATCCTAGACAACGGCGATCTAGTAGCATAGAGCCCATTGCAACTAAAGTCATCTCCAATGTATTGAACTCTTAAAAGTTTAATGGATTGTCACATCAACATTCTACTAACTATATCATTTTATCCATTAAACTCTACACTCCATTAAACTCTTAAGAGTTAAATGAATTTCCACATCAACATTTAATTATATCTTTTTATAAATAATATTGTAAAACTATAATATTACATTAATTAGAAATTAAAAGTTACAAATTACAAATTATTAATTAAAGATTATTGTATATGTTATTGTTTTAAAATATTTTTAAGATTTAAATATTTTTTTTGTTTAGAATATTATAATATAAATTACCTTGATGATTTTAAGGGATAATGTCACTGTAGCACATGGAACTTTCTTCAATTGGCTAATTTGATCCTTAAAGTTTTTTTTTGGTACATAAGGCCAGTAAACTCGTGAGTGACATTTTAATTACACCATTTTATCAAGTTTTAGAAGGTTTCCCGGTTGACCTTTAATATATGTGAATTAATATATATTTTTTGTCTAATCCAATGCCACGTGAGATATGCCACGTCAATTAATGATATAAGAAGCTTAAATCCTATCGTCTTCAACTATCGAACTTCAGTCGTCTTCATTAATCAGCTGTAAAAGAAACCGAGTTAGGGTTTGTGAAGCATTCCTGTGATCGAGCTGAAGAAACAAAGTAGTCGCAACAATGGCACAATCGGAACCTAATGGATTGTTTGCGATGGTGAAACTGAACTACCAAGGGGTATTTAATCGAAATCCTTTCTCTTACACTGGTGGTGTGAAAACCATGTTCACTGATGTTGACTTTTCTTCTATGACTTATTATGAGTTTGTGAACTTCTTCGAACGTTTCATGCATGAAGAGTGTAAAAAGCTTTACTACTGTGAACCAGGCAATTCCCTGATGGAAGGGCTTAATCCCATTTCAGATGCTGTGGAATATGTTGTTTTTATTTTTGATGCTTATGGAACAGATGGTGTAATTTTGGTTTATGTGGATCATATTGGGGTTGGTGTTGATGGGTGGCTTGATGATGAAGATAATGATGATGATGAACATGAGTCTTGTATAGACGGTGAAAATGAAGATAACATAGATGAACTTAGGAATGTTGCCTTTGAATTTAATGAGGATGTAGTGCATATGAATAGGACATCAAATGATCCTTTCTTGAGTAAGTTATGTGTTGATGATGAGGATGAAAACAACATTGTAGATGATGACAATGGGAGAGAAGTTGAAGTTAACATACAAACTCATTCCATATTTAATGAGCTATTACACTGGAAAAAACAAAAACCAATTCTAGGGATGAGATTTAAGGGTCCAGGGCAAGTAAAATCAATGTTGTGTAACTATGCTGTAGCTAATGGATATCAATTGTGTTTTGAAAAAAAAAATGATAGGACAAGACTTTTGGTGAGGTGTAGCAAGGGTGCTTGCACATTTAGATTATGGGCTTCCTGGATGAGTGATGAAGAGATTTTCCAAATCAAGTCACTAAAAGCTTATCGTAATTGTGCTAGGAACTTCAAGTTTGGATCATTGGTGACATATGCATGGATTGCGAGTCACTATACCAAAGAGATTGTACAAAGTCAGAAAATAAGTGTAAGGAAGCTTAGGTTGAAGGTAATGGCCAAGTTTGGTATCCAAGTTAGTATGGGGCAATGTAGAAGAGCAAAGAAGTATGCACTGAAACTTGTTGAAGGTAGCCTTGTTGAACATTATGGTAAGCTATGGTCATATGGTCATGAGATTTTAAGGACAAATCTTGGGTCAACTGTGAAACTAGATATGGAGGATGGTCCAGATGGAAAGAAATATTTTAGCAAGTTCTATTGTTGTTTTTAAGGAGTTAAACAAGGTTGGATTGAAGGGTGTAGAAGGATAATTGGTCTTGATGGATGTTTTCTTAAAGGTGTTTGTAAGGGGGAATTGCTTTGTGCTATTGGGAGGGATGCAAATGACAATATATATCCTATTGCTTGGGCAGTGGTTAATGTGGAGAACAAGCAGAATTGGAAGTGGTTTTTAGAGCTTTTCATTGATGATCTAAACTTGAATTTAGGCAATGGTTTCAGTTTAATGTCAGACCAACATAAAGTTAGTATTTTACATAGTAATGCATTTATATTTATTTTACACTATCTGAATTAAACCTTTATACTACTATAGGGTTTGATAGAGGTTGTTAAAGAGTTGCTGCCATATGTAGAGCACAGGCAGTGTGCTAGACATATTTGCCAGAATTTGCAGAAGAGATTCACTGGTGCCATATATCATACCTTGTTTTGGAGAGCATCTAAAGCCACAACTGAGCATGCTTTTAAAGTTGTGATGAAAGAAATTGAGACATTGAACCCAGTTGCCCATTAATATCTCATGGAGAAAGGTCCTAAAACATGGTCAAGAGCTTTCTTTCAAACTGGAATGTGTTGTGATGCAGTTGAAAATGGGTTCTCAGAAAGTTTTAATGCTGTAATAGTAGATGCCAGGAAGAAGCCCATAATAACCATGTTAGAGGAGTTAAGATTATACATGATGGACAGAATCTACAACATGAAATTAAAGGGACAACAATGGGGAAATCATATTTGTCTAGAGATAAGGGATAAGGTGAATTTGCTTAAAAAAGCTCAACGGCATTATCAGGTACTACCAAGTGGATTAAACCAGTTTGAGGTAAGGGGAGCAACAGATGCATATGAGGTGGACTTAGAAAGGAAAACATGTTCATGTAGGTTGTGGCAATTGAATGGATATGGATGTGCTCATTCTGTAGCTTGCATATCCTTTCTTAATAGGGATGTAGAAGCCTATGTGTACAACATGTTTAGCACAACCACATTTAGGAATGCATACAATTACAGAATTGCTCCCATGAATAGCAGTGACATGTGGCCAGAGACAAACTATACTCCACCATTGCCTCCTATTAATAGAAGGATGCCTGGTAGGCCAGCTACTAAGAGGAAGAAATCCACTACAGAGAATACAGGAACACACAGGGTTTCTAAGACTGGAAAGAAAATCAGATGTAGTATTTGCAAGGAGATAGGTCACAACAAGGCCACTTGTCCACAGAGAAGGCCCCAAAAGTTAAATGTGAATAAACAGAAGAAACAAAAAGTTTGTGTGAAGCAAAATGCAGGACAGGTAAAACCATTTAAAATTTAAATTTGTTTACATATGATTTGTTACTAACATAATTATATCATGCCATATAGGGTAGTACAAGTGAACCACAACAACATCAAGAGGTTGAAATGACTCCAATTGAGATGGATACTACTCAAAATGATATGCAAGTTACTCATACTGATGTTGAATCCAGTAGTGCAGGGGATTTTAGTCATTATATGCAATTTACTCCACCTAGATGTTATGAAGGTGATGAGGGTGTTGTGGGTGAGGAAGCTGATGTGGTTGAGGAAGCTGTTGTGGTTGAGGAAGCTGTTGTGGTTGAGGAAGTTGTTCAAGATGAGGAAGCTGAGGAGGTTGATCCTGTTATCCAAGTTGATAATGTTAATGTTCAGGAGGTTGATGAGGTTGATCCTGTTATCCAAGTTGATAATGTTAATGTTCAGGAGGTTGCTCCTGTAATCCAGGTTCAGCAGGTAAGTGTTAGGCCAATTTCAGAGATTTTGAAGAGGATAAGGAGAAGAAAGTCAGAGAGAATATTGAAGCTGAAATTAGGCAAAACATTTGGTGGTGTTGATGATCCAGGAAATTCGAAGGGAAAAGCTCCTGTAATTGATTAGTGTTTATTGTAATTTGGATTTAAAGTTTATGTAATAGGATGATGGTAATTTGGATTTAAAGTTTATGTAATAGGATGATGGTAATTTATATTTAAAGTTTATGTAATAGGATGATGGTAATTTATATTTAAGTATGTATGAAAGAAAAGGGTATTTTGGTCATTTAAGTATGTATGAAAGAAAAGGGTATTTTGGTCATTTAAGTATGTATGACAGAAAAGGGTATTTTGGTAATTTATTTATGTATGACAGAAAAGGGTATGTTGGTCATTTATTTATGTATGATAGAAAAGGGTATGTTGGTCATTATTTATGTATGACATAAAAGTTCTTCCAAATCAGTTCAATACCTTTGGGTAGCAAAGGTGTAGAAACATGATCATACTCTTCAAACAAAAATACTAATAAACTATAATAGGTATAGTTTAGAGGATTACTACTTACTACTTCTAGAACATTGAAACTTACAAGAGTCAGTTCATAGATGAGTCAGTTCAAACTTACTATAACAAGAACAGAAAGAACATACTATACACTAGAATAGAAAGAACATACTATAACAAGAGCAGAAAGAACATACTATACACTAGAACAGAAGGAACATACTATGCACTAGAACAGAAGGAACATACTACACTAATACAAGAACAATATAACATTAATGTGAGCCTATACTTCATGACATTGGAAATATACTGTTGTGTCACGTTTTGTAACCAGAGCCTCCTGGAGGGAGAGAGTGAGTTTGTGTATAGATCTATACGGGATTGACCATCCTACACCTTGCTGCTAGCTACACTGGGACCTGCAGGTCTACGGGTGACAAATGTCATACCATTTCGATGTCTTTGGAACGTCGTGTTTTATACTAGTCAATCAAGCATGGTTATAACCTCATCACGTTTTACCTTAATTAAACAATTTGGTTTTAAGGTAGTTAGTACATCTGTAGTTACTTTATATTCATATAGTGATCTTCTCACATAAACAGTAATGTAAACTATTTTTCTAGTAATGATAGTCATACTTGGGAAAAACACTCACTTTTACAAAAGAACAAACATGCAGAACAGTCGGGTCTTGGTAGAAGGCTACATTTCATTATAAGTAGAAAATATAGGATTTTCTAGGAGGTATACAAACATTTACATCAAACATTTACATCAAACACTTACAAACACTTTCATCAAACTTATACAAACATTTGACACTAAAATACTTATGAACTCACCTGCTTAAATGTTGATCTACTCTTTCAAAATAACTTGTATTCTCAGGTCACCAGTAGACAGGTACACTGGACCAGGTTTTGAGAAGACGGAGCACATTCGAGACTCGTGTTTTATTTTGATATATACATTTTGGTGTCTTACAAATACATTCAGAACACACTTGTATTAACTATATTATTAATGAAATGGATGATGTTGTTGCTTGTTTTACTATTGTGCATTGTTATGATACTGTACATGACGTCCTCCGCCCCCGAACGTTTCCGCCGTTCTGGTTTGGGGGTGTGACAGATTGGTATCAGAGCTTTTTTTTATAGTGAATTGAGTATATCAACCCATAAAAGATATACAACTATAAACACATCGGGATTAAAAATACTCTGACCAAGAGTTTATACTTTTAAATAATAAAATATTTCACTAAAGTATACATACAAGCATTCATACTAGGATCAGTGTCATACGAGAACAGAACAAAAGTATTGCGGTTGTTGGACATCACAAGTAGGCTTGGGGACATATAATCAGATCTGGGAGTGATATAGCTTGATCAGCTATATCTTTCTGAGAAGTGATTAGCATGTGCCTACGAATGGTTGTGGTGTTGCAGCATGTCTAAAAACTTACCAACTCTACTACAATGAGAACTTTAGAACATAACATAAACTTAAAAATACGATAGGAGTATTTTGTGTTACTATAATTACTTATTTGAGAACTAAAAGGTCTTTATTAGTAGGTCAATGGTTGCTGAGTGAATACGCTAAGGTTATATGTGACTAGGGTGTCATAGACTTAGAATCTGTGATCTTTGCTTTACTTCCTGTTCCTTGTTTGGTTGTGGACTTAGAGTTAGGGTCACTTATTCGAAGGTGCATTCTATTTTGGTTACATATGAATGGTATGCACTACGCAAGTATTGAAGTAACTGGTAAGGATCATCCTATAATTATCTTAAGTAGTACGTTTATTAACTATTTCTTTTACCCCTATTCTCGCGTAGATAACATGGCTGGATTCCATCTCCCCGGCGAACCGTACTTTCCCAACCAAGGAAATGGTGGATGGCTCGATGCAGAGCCAGAAGAGAATCATGAAATTCCCTTAGATGACGATTTTTCATAAAATTTCCTAGAGGATTCTGACTCCAACCCAGAAGTCAATGATCAACCCCTAGTGGCTCCAATCCCAAATCCTAACCCTCGTCTGGCTTTTCAAGGCCCGACGCCCTCATGGGCTGTGAACTTGGGTAGGTGGAGTCGTGAGCAGGTCAACCCTTACCCTACAACGGAGACCGAAGCTTCTACAACCTCAGTGAGGGAGGATCCCCAGAAAGAGTTCTTCCCATCTTGGTTCGCCGAGTGGCTCGCAATGTTGAACTAGAAATGACAGCCATTCAACAAACCGTGGAGCTCGATGCGGATACAAACGCCAATACGGATCGTATTCGCAATCTTGAATTTGATCATGAGAGATCTATGAGTGACAATGAGGCTCTGCAGCAAGAGCTAGTTGCAACTCGAGCTGAAGTCATAGAGCTCTGAGCACGCCAGACAGTGTATGAAAGACACCTTCTTGATGTGGAGCGTCAGCTGGCCGAATTGAGGGTTCATCCGAGGGGTGCCCATCGCCAGTAGGAGATGCTCTAATCATCATTTCTTTTGGTTTAAGGGATAGTGTTCTTATCTATGCTCTAAGTAGCACTTTTCCCTTTAAATATTCATGTACTTCAAGTACTATTTCACTAGGTCTTTATGCTGTCAAAATTTTCTAGTTTCTGGTTTGATGTAAGACCTACTTCAAGGTCATTTTCAGGAACTTGTTACATCTTTAATTCCAATGTTATTGACAGACACCTAATCTTTTGGGGAAATCTTTATCCAAATGCTTTCATCCTTCTATTGTTAGATCTCTATTTCAAGCATACTCTCATCTATTTTGTTGGGCTATGGTGATTTAGTCCATGGACCACTCTCATTATACTCACAATTGAATTATTACTATCATCCTCATCATTGTAAACTTTTAGTTGAAAGATGCATCCACTTCGATCTCCGAGAAATAATCCTCCGATAACTCCAATTCAACCACCACTACCTCCTCCACAATATAATCCAACAGTTATCCAAGCTGCAGTGGCTGCGGCTGTTACCGCAACCCTAGCTCAATTCATCACCACTGGTACTAGCGGGAGTGGAACAACTGTGCGTTCCACTCAAGGTGATGCTCCCGTGCGCTCTAGAGAGTGCTCGTATAAGGACTTCACCAACTGCAAGCCCAAGACCTTTAACAGGACTAGAGGAATCATTGCCCTCTCGCAATGGTTCGAAAAGACGGAGTCGATCTTCGAGATCTGCTCCTGTCCAGAAGGGAGCAAAGTAAAATTTGCTGCCTGCACCTTCGCGAACAGAGCCTTGACATGGCGGAATAGCCATGTCACGTCACTAACCCTGATAGTGGCTAATGCAACGGACTGGGAAGCTCTGAAGGAGCTCATGATTGAGGAATACTGCTCGAGGGGCGAGGTTCAGAAACTTGAACAAGAACTCTGGAGCCTAACCATGAAGGGCTCCGACATAGTTGCGTACACTGCCAGGTTCAGTGATCTGGTGGCTTTATGTCCACGAATGGTCCCTACTGACGGAAAGAAAGTCGAGAGGTATATCTGGGGGCTGGTGCCTCCATTCTAGGGGAATGTCTTAGCTTCAAACCCCACTACCTTCGACAGTGCCAAGCGACTGGCACAACGGCTCATTGATCACGGAGTCCGCACCCCGACAATGACAACAAACCTTGCCATCTTAGAACCACCCAAAGACGCTGACAGCAAGCGGAAGTTTTGGGACAACAAGAAGAAGAACAATGCGGCGCAGAACTCTGCTAAGAAGCAGCAGGTCGTGGCTGTTCATGCCGCGATAGCACCTACTGCCACTGCGCCAGTGAAGCAGTATGCGGGAAGCTTGCCCAAGTGAAACAAGTATAGCTTCTACCACAATGGACCCTGCCGGGAAATGCAGTGTGTAAACTGCAACAGGAAAGGGCACACTGCCCGTTTCTGCAAATCTTCGGCTAGGCCAATCACCCAAGTCCCCGAAGTTGGTGTGGGCCAGGCTTGCTACGGATGTGGCGAGGTGGTTCAGTACAAGAGGAACTGCCCGAAGGCAGGGAACGCTGGCAGAGTGGGAAGGGTTTTCGCTATTGGCCACGAGGAAGCGGTAGCAGACCCTACAATGGTCACTGGTACATTTCTCCTCGATAACTCTTATGCCTACATACTATTTGATAGTAGAGCTGAGAGGAGTTTCGTGAACCATAAATTTGCACACTTACTTAAACAAAAATCACGTGCACTTAAAGAACCGTTCACTGTAGAAATGGCTAACGGAAAGACTGAGAGCACTAGCAGTATATACATAGGATGTACCCTAACTCTATATAGCCATTCATTTCCAATCGACCTCATGTCTGTCTCAATTAAAAGTTTCGACGTCATTATCGGCATGGATTGGTTGAGTCTTCATCGTGCTGACATCATGTGTTATGAAAAGGCCGTTCGTCTTAATCTACCATCTAACGAAACTCTAGTTATCTATGGCGACAAAGCCGGCACGAACCTTCGTATCATCTCGAGCATACAAGCCCATAAGTACTTACGAAAGGAATGTCATGCATTCCTTGCTCATGTAGTCGATATGAGCCAAGAGACGAAAGACATAAAGAACATCCAAGAAGTACGCAACTTTCCCGACATCCTTCCATAAGAACTAC